CCCCCTCATTTTTGCATAGTTCCCCTTTCTGAAATTAAATGTCACAGTGTTGAGCTGTTGAGGTGTTCTTCCCACCACAGGGATTTTAAATGTTGTTATATTATGGTCACTATTTCCAAGCCATCCTGTTATAGTTACCTCTTGGACCAGCTCCTGCGCTCCACTTAGGACTAAATCGAGAGTTGCTTCTCCCCTTGCGGGTTCTTGTACCAGCTGCTCCAAGAAGCAGTCATTTAAAGTATCAACAAATTTTGTCTCTGCATTTTGTCCTGAGGTGACATGTCAATATGGGGATAATTGAAATCCCCCACTATTATGGAGCTCTTTATTTTGATAGCCTCTCTAAACTCCCTTAGCATTTCATTGTCACGATCACTGTCTTTGACAGGTGGTCGATAATAGATCCCTATTGTTGTATTCTTATTAGAGCATGGAATTACTATCCATAGAGAGTCTATGGAACATGCAGTTTCATTTAAGATTTTTACATCATTTGAGTCTACATTTTCTTTAATATACAGTGCCATTCCCCCTCCGCCCCCCAAAAAAGTATGACCTGCTCTGTCCTTCCAATATATTTTGTACCCTGGAATGATTGTGTCCTATTGACTATCCTCACTCCACCAGGTTTCTGTGATGCCTATTATGTCAATATCCTCTTTTAACACGAGGCACTCTAATTCACACATATTATTTAGACTTCTAGCATTTGTGTACAAGCACTTTAAAAACTTATCACTGTTTATTTGTCTGCCTTTTTCTGATGTGTCAGATTCTTTCGTGTGTGAATGCTTCTCCTCTGACCTAGCCCCTACTTTATCCTCTTCCAGCCTCTCTTCCTGACTAAAGCTATAAAATCTCTATCACTAGACTCTCCTCTAAGAGAAGTGTCTGTCCAATCCACCTGCTCCTCTACAGCCATCGGCTTTCTCCCATCTCAGTTTAAAAACTGCTCTGCAACCTTTTTAATGTTAAGTGCCAGCAGTCTGGTTCCACTTTGGTTTAGGAGCAGCCCATCACTCCCGTATAGGCTCCCCCCCATCCCCAAAGTTTCCCCAGTTCCTAATAAATCTAAACCCCTCCTCTCTACACCATCATCTCATCCACTCATTGAGACTCTGAAGCTCTGCCTGCGTACCTGGCCCTGCATGTGGAACTGGAAGCATTTCTGAGAATGCCACCATAGAGGTCCTGGATTTCAGTCTCTTTCCTAGCAACCTAAATTTGGCCTCCAGGACGTCTCGCCTATCCTTCCTTATGTCATTGGTGCCTACATGTACCACATCCACTGGCTCCTCCCCAGCACTACACATAAGTCTGTCTAGATGCCTCGAGAGATCCGCAATCTTTGCACAAGGAAGGCAAGTCACCATATGGTTCTCCCGGTCTTCACAAACCCAGCTATCCTTGTTTCTAATGATCAAATCTCCCATTACTAACAGCTGCCTTTTCTTAATGACTGGAGTTTCCTCCCCCCGGCGAGGTAACCTCAGAGCAAGCGGTTACCCCAACACCATCTGGAAAGAGGGTCCCAACTATGGGAAGGTTTCCCTCTGCTCCCGTTGCCTGCTCTGCTTCCCTGGGCCTTTCATCCTCCTCAACAGCGCAAGGGCTGTCTGACCGGAAGTGGGAGAAATCTACAGTGTCCCGGAAAGACTCATCAGCGTACTTCTCTGCCTGCCTTAGCGTCTCCAGTTCCACCACCCTGGCCTCCAAAGGCTCCACGCTGTCTCTGAGGGCCAGGAGCTCCTTGCACCGAACGCACATATACGCCACCCGCCCACAGGGCAGGTAATCATACATGCTACATTGAGTGCAATAAACAGGATAGCCCCCACTCTACTGCTGGGCTTCTGCCTGTATTCTCTCTTACAGCTACCTAGGTTAACAATAGGGGTTTTGTTTAAATCAAGATGTTTGTATTATAGCTTAAATGTTTTAAAGAATGGCAAGAGTACCTTGCCCCCTTCCTACTCCCCTTCTAAACTCCCTCACGAAACTCCCTGTTAGCAGCCCTGGTCGCAAAGCTCCCTGGTCGCTTGCTCACTGCTTTACTAAGGACTCCCCCTATGACATAACCCCCCTCACCTCCACCCCTGTTGTGAGCCACTCAGGGTAGGGGGCTGGGAGCACCCCCACGACCCCAGCCCACACCCCCAGTCCTCAGACTGGACTCCTGCACCCCCCCACCACACACACCCAGCCAGCCCCCTGCTCTCCCCACACATACCCAGCCCTCGCACCCCATGCCCTGATTCCTGGACCTGACCCCCCCCCCTCCTCACCCCAACCCTGAACACCAAATGGGAACTACTGCACCCCCTCCCACATTGCCATCTGCACCTCTTGCACCAAATGGGAGCTGACCCAGGTAAGTACTCCACACCCCAACCTCCTGCCCCAACCCTGAGCCCCCTCCTGCATCCTAAAACGTGGCCAGACCATGCACCCCAATCTCCAACCTGCTCCTGCACCCTAACTCCCTCCCAGACCCTGCACCCCCAGCCCTGACCCTGCACCTTGAACACCCTGGCCTCCCGGACTCCTGCACCCCCTCACCCCCCCCCAGCCATGACTCCTTAACTCCTCTCACACACACCCCAGTCCCCTGCCCTCCCTGATTCCCGCAACCCCCCCATACCTCCTGCCCCCACACACCCCAGCCCCCTTACTCCTGCATCCCCTCACCCCCCAGCCCTTATTCCTTCACCCCTCTCAAACACACCCCAGTACCCTGCCCTCCCTGATTCCTGCAACCACCCATAACCCCTCCCCCTCACACACACCCAGTCCTGACTCCTGCACCCCCTACACACAGCCTCCTTCCCTCCCACAACTCCACCTACATTCCTCGCATGAAACGGGAGCTGCCCCAGGTAAGCGCTCCACACCCCAACCCCCTGCCCCAGCCCTGAGCCCCCTCCCACACCCTAGCTCCTGGACAGACCCTGGACACCAACCTCCAGCCTGCTCCTGCACCCGAATTCCCTCCTAGACCCTGCACCCCGAGCCCTGAGCCCCCTCACACACCCTAAACCCTGGCCACTCCCCGCACCCCAATGTTTTTTACATTTTTTTTTATAAAGGGCTTTTATCCAAAGCGCTTTACAATAGTTAGCTAACAGTACAAACAATATTTGGAAAGATCATTAAGTGGTGCACTGAGACCCTCAGCGATTTTCAACTGGTCTGTGGAAAAATCAGTTGGACTACAAGAACAATCAAGGTACCTCACTTTATTTTCATTTACTTCCTATTACTTATAGGAGGAGGAGGAAGAATAAAAAGAATGAAAAGTCAGGGTGGGGGAGGATGAGAGAATGTTCTTCTTCTTGCCTGGGTCCCAAGGAGGAGCCCCAAAAATGAAGCCGAGCACAGGGCCCCACTAACGCTAAAACCGCCACTGAGCTTCCATCTCTGGATGCCCCCAGCCAGCATTCAAGGACACACAGAGCGTCTGTGTGATACGCAAGCCTAGACCAGCAGCTCTGACTCCAGCAGCCTGCTCGTTACACCCCAAGCACATTCAGGTTTGGGTGGAGAAGGCTCAGGGTTTGAGAGGTCAGGGGTAGGAAGCTTCTGTTGATTATGCTGCACCTAACGCTCAGTTTTACTTGAGCAAACAGGAGATATTTGACACTGCGTGATACTGCTCCTGTGCTCTGTTCCCAAAGTGTTCTGCAGCAGGGGAGGGTCTCTGGTAGTGTGTGTGTCACTGGCATATTGGGGTGATGCTGAAACTGGGCAGAGTAGAGGTGGCATTGTGGGGCTGGCTAGAACCTTATCTCTTCTTTTCCCCTTCCAAGAACCGAGGGGATGGGAATCCTTACCCAGCAAGGTCACGTTCTCATAGTTCTCCTGCATGACATCCCAGTAGAGGGCTCTCTGAGTGGGGTCCAGCAGAGCCCATTCTTCCCTGGTGAAATACACAGCCACCTCCTCGAAGGTTACCGGCCCCTGGAAGACCAAGAGTCCAACACTCAGTACCTGCTGCCCCACTCACAGTCCCACTATTTGTGGGGGAGAGGAACCCATCAAAGGGAAGCCCTGGGTGGATTGCAGTCAACAGAGTCCCACTCCCACCCTGCTCAGAGCATCCAGGAAACACCAGGGTGAGGGAACCTAAGAGAGAGCCCCTCTGTTCTCCCAGCAGATCAATCACACACCTACTAGCCACAGACTGATAAAGGAGATGGAGCCACTAGCAGGGTCCAGGAAGAGCTCCCTGTTAGGAAGCCCAACACCCGGCCCATTCTGAAGAGCTGGATATGAAGGGAGGGGAATCTCCCCTACGCCAGACTGGTGGGTGCCCCCTTCATATCTCACATCAGCCACTGGTTAATCAGAACAACCGTCAGTACTACAAGTCTTGTCATTTTATTTACCCCCATGTAGCTGCGTTATTTTCTGTTCAACAAATCAGGTCATTTCCACCACCAAAGCTCATGGGTCTGTTCATAGAATCTAGGCCACTTATTAAACAACTCCCAGCAGGTTTGTCAGATGCACAGGGTGGAGAAATGGAGGAGGACAGCATTTCCTGCCCCACTCCAACTTCCAGACCAGACTGTGAAAACCTTCCCATCTCCGGTGTATTTGCTGCCCCTCTCCCTCCTGCAGGAACCCATCAGCAACCCCCTGATAACACCTACCTGGACTGACTCCTCTGCAGCCATTTCTCTCCCCTGTCCCATGGGAGGCTGGGATGAACTGGAGCGAAACATGGACATCATTCTGCAGCCTGGCAGGGTGAGAAGGGCAGTTGTGGAGGTTTCAAAACAGACTGTGAAATTAATTAAAGCATGATTCCCTCAGGCTTTTCCCCTGCAAACAGACACCCTAGAGTCTGCCATGCTGAGAAAAGGCTTGATCTCTTTGTACAATGTAGACCTGGCCCCTCCTGCCAGGCTAAGCCAAAAGAGACATTTTTATACTCTCTTCTCCCTCCCCCCATCCCATAACAAAGTCTTTGAACCCAATGCTAGAAAAGAGGAGAACGAAAGGATTCACTGTGGGGGATTCCCTCAGACACTGACCCCATAGCAGCCACACCCCAGCAGGAGGGATATGGAGTCAGGAACTGGATTATCCTCTGATTCTCATTTTCTCCACAGGAAAGTGACTCTATCCAGGGTGCAGTAATACATCTGTCTGGGAAGATTAGAGATCTGGAAATCTCTCTCAAAACTCTTCTCTCCCACAGCCCTTTTCAGTCTCTCCTATCTCTTTTTCCCTGTCCTCTCTCCCTGTCCGTCTGGTAGGAAAGTCCAATTCCTGGGTAGTTTGCTCTCCCATGGCTGGATTTGCTCCTGTAATTGCTAGTGGGATGAGAAATGAAGGGGGTCTGTTTGTTTAGAGTCATTTTAAGGCCAGACCCCCAGCATTTTCCCTTCCTTTCTTTCAGTTACTTGGAATGTTTGGCTCAGAATTTAGTATTAACAGGGCTCAGGGCTGCCCTATGGGGCTAGTACCAATTGGAGAAAGTTATCACCTGGGCAGGGCAGAGAAGAAGCTTTAATTAAGGTCACTTCCCAGCACAGAACCCCCGCTGGGGAAGCAGCAGCTGCTAAGCCTGGTCTCCCAGATCACAATGGAGGCTGCAGCGTGTGACCCAGGAAGCTGAACCCCAATATCCTGAGCAGAGAGGGACAGAGCGTTTGAGCAGCTTCCCTCCTTTAGCTCTCTGGGGAGAGCAGCTAATGAGAGCCCCTCCTCACAGGGAGAATTGCTGATCTCATTTGCCTTACTGTCCATCTGGAGTCACTCCTCCTCTTTCCATGCAGTGACTCTTGATTAACCTTCGTCTCAATGAAACCAGATTTCAGAAAGAACGAGTCCAGAATGCTGTGGAAGAGACCATTGTGCGGCAGTGCTAACCCCCTTCCCACCTCCCTTACCCCTCCAGATCGAGAACAAGGACTGGGGGGGCACAAGTTTTCCAAACGGAACCAAAAGTTCCTGACGTTTTCAAAAGAGAAGAAAAGGAAAACCTGCGATTTCACACTAACAGTGTTTGATAAGTGGATAGAAAGTTATCACAGTGACAGGGCATGTGACTGGGGAATGCTGGGCAGTGCTTAGAGCCAAGACTCTTGATCAGAAAGAAGAATCATGGTTAGTAGCAGTTGCCAGAGCCCACAGCCAGGGGCCCCAGACACCCCCCAGCCAGGGTCCCACCAGATCGGCCAGGGACTCTGGGGGCTGCGTCCCAGGGACTGAGACCCCAGATACCCCTCAAAGCCCCACCGGCCAGGGAATCCCCACCACACCATGACTGCGAGGTTGGGAATCCCAAAGGGTTCCCCCCATCAAGAGCCCCTAGAAGCCAGGAACCCCCACAAGGGAACCCCCCACTGGGAACTCAGTCCCTCACTGCCTGCGTAGGTCCCCCCACCCCGCCCTCCAGCAGGATCTGCCATGCTGTTTGTCTGGGATCCCCTCCTCCGCCCAATGGGACCCCTCACTCTGCTTCCCTGGCATTCCGTGACGTAGTGCCAGAGCTCCGCCTCCCCACTCCCCGCCAGCTCTGTGCACTGGACATGGCTACGATCACAGGAGCCAGCGGGGAAGCCCAGACACAGCCCCTGGCACAGCACCAGGCTCCCTCTAACCCCGTCCCGCCTCCCCAAGAGACGCCCACCCCCGCTGTTCTGCAGCCAAGAGGCCCCCAGTGACACCCACCTCCAGGACCCATAGCCTCAGGGCTGGGCACATCAGAACCACCCTCCCAAACCTCCAGAACCCACCAACTTGATTAGGGTACCCCCTGCCCAGTCACCCAAACACCTCCCCCTACCATAATGCCCCTTCAGCTGCAATCTCCCCACACAGACATCCCTTGCCCCCAGAGCAACAGTGTTACCTCACAGTGTCTGAGAAGTGGATAGAAAGTTATCACCACCCCCTGCTGGCCAGTTACACAGGCAGAGGGAGCCCTGGGGGATGCCTCTTGAACAGGAGAATGGAAGGCCTGGAGGGCAAAAAGGTAAGAAATGTCCATGGCCTGTCACCAGCAAATAATGGCCATGGATCTACCCCAGATGTGGCTACATCTTAGCACTGCGGGAATCAACCCCTCATGGAGACCATTTGTCATGTGGTTTGGGATACTTCTGGACCCACGCTGCACTCAGAGGAACCTCCTCATCCCGTGCCAGCTGGAGAAAAGAAAAGAGTCCAGCCAACTCCCCTGTTTCCAGTTGGGGGCCACTGATCCCCAAACAGGGGGAGGCCTCTGGCTTTGATGTGTATTAAATATGTGGCTGGTCTCTTTTATCAGCAAAGATTTTAACAGAGATAAAGGGGGGAAGAAATGATTCTCAAAGGAGAAGGGAAAGATAATCACTGGACAATTTAATCCCCTGCAACCTCCAGGATGGAGAACGACTCAGGGCAACTAGTTCCCTCCAAGGAAGGAGAAGTTGCTGGGATTGAGAAACATGGGGAACAGCCCCAAACATGAAAGGATTTTTAATTAACATTTGATAATAACGTAGAAACAAAAGAGAAAGGCTGGAAATCTGAGAGATTTTGGATCAATTTTGCAAATAATAGAGAGGAAAGCAGAAAGTCAGAGGGATTTTATATCAGTTCTTGATATGAGGTAAAATCTGAGTGTTTCCCATCAATATTTGTTAAATGAATACAGAAGAAATGGGCACCATTTTATATCCATGTTCAAGAATCTGAGAAGAGGTGTAAATCTGAGATTTTCTTTGTATTTTATAATTAGAGAGACAGGCAAAAATCTCAGGGCATATTCAATTAGAAATAGACAACTAAAGAGAAGTGGGGCAAATGTTTAGGGTATTTTACATCAATATTTGAGATTTGCAGAGAAAACGTGTTACGAACTATGCAATTGAAGGTGGAAAATTAGAATTATGGAGAGACCAGGGGGAAATCAGGAGAGACGAGAGAGGTGATCATTTGAGGGGAAAGGGGGGGGGAGAGAATCTCCCCGGATTTTATAGCCACGTGTGAGCTGATGAAAGAGAAAAGGAGAAGAATTAGAGAAAATTTGTATCAAGGGGTGGGAGGCAAGTGGCACAAACAGGGACAGGATCCAATTAACCACCCCACCCACCAACCACTTCTCCCCCCGGGGATTTCCTGGCTGCACAGAGACAGTACAATACCCCTCCCCCGCGTCCCACTGACCTTCTCTCCCGCCCCCCGCAACTCCGGCTTCTCCCCTTCCCGCAACGCATCGGGCCCCAGTCTCTGCCCCCCGCAGTGGGGCCGGGGACAGATCCTGCTGCAGCTGAGGCAGCTCCGAGGCTTCTCCCAGGTTCCCCGGGGCGGAGAGTCACTTTCCTGCCCGGCCCCAGCACCCAACGGGGTCTCTCACTCACCGGGGGGCTCCGGCCTGGGGCTGCCCAGGGGGCGGGTCCCAGCTAAAGAAAGCCCCCGCGGCCGGGCATGGAGGAGTTAATGCCGGGCTCCCCCCGCACGGACCCGGGGGAGCAGCAGCACCTGCTCAGCTCAGAGCCCCGGTTTACACGGAGGCAGCAGCTTTGTTCTCCCGCCCCCACGTGGACTCGCACGGAGCATGCGCAATTTCAGCTCACCTGGGCTGGAGAGGGCGGAAGCAGGCCCCGAAGCAGGCTGAGAGATGTAGTTCCTGACTCTGCAGGGAGCGGAAGTGACGTTCGGCTTGGGGTGGGAGGAGGACGAGCTGGGCTGCGAACAACGCACGGGACCCTGCGGTTCTGCCCGGCTCGTGCGGGGCCCTGGGAGCCTCCCCCGGAGCTGGAGAAGAGTTTTGTGTCTCTCGGCTCTGGGCATGCGCAGATCAGGAGGGAGGGAGAGTCCCGCATGCGCAGAGGCAGCGCTCACCCGCTGCTGCTCCCTGGCGCTGCGGGGCCGGGCTGAGGAGGAGGGTCTGTGCCGGGGAGACCCATTAACCCTCCCGTGCCCGGCCCGCGCCCTGCTCCCGCTGGGGCCGCCCCGGGATCTGCCCGCCCCCCTGCGGAGCTGCAGCCTCCAGGTACCGGAGCGAGCCCCGGGGGCGGGGCCGGGCGGTGACTCTGCCCCAGTGTCCGTGGGGGGGACCCGGCATCTCGCAGCGCCGGGATCTGCTCCCTGGGGGCAGCGCCCGCGGGGGGCTCGGAACTGCTGTCCCCGCAGGAGTCCAACGCCCCCGGGCCACCGGCCCCGCCTCCGGTACCTGGAAGCTGGGTGGGCAGAGCAGGGCGGCTCCAGTGGGAGCAGGGCCCAGGAGGGCACGGGGGGGGGGCGTTAATGAAGGTCTTCCTGGCACAGACCCTTCTGCTCTGCTCTGCCTGGGCTCCCCGATCATAATGGAGAAGCGGCAGCGCAGCGCTCACCCAGCAGCTGATACATAGGCAGCGAGTTCCATGTCCACGGCACCGGCAATATTCAGAGCCAGGGGGCAGCTCCAGCAATCAATACTTGGGGCCGGGTATCCCCCCCTTCCCGGTGCTCCCTGCAGCCCCCCCCCCCATGCCTTCCCGGAGTGTCCTCTCGCCTCCTGGCACCAACTGCTTCTGCGGGGTCCTAGTGCCCCCCATATCCACTGCCAGGGCAGACTGACTCTGAGCCTGCCCTTCCCCCTCAGACCCTTCTCTTTTCCAGTGGGACCCTGCAGCAGCACAGCCTCCCTCCCCCGCAGTCACCGCTCCTGCCCCATGCTGGGCAAGGAGGCAGCCCCATCCCTCACCCCCAGTGAGGCTACAATCAGGGGAAACAGCAGGGGAGGAGGCGCATGCAGCACCCCCCAGCACCCACCACGGTTGAGGCGAGGGAGATTCCTGGACCTGAGAGATCTAAGAGCACATGCAGTGACAGTGGTGGGGGTGAATGTCCTGCTGGGGGGGGTGGGAAAGGGGGGCTCCTCCCCCAGAGCTTGCTGCTGCTGGTAGGGAGAGGGCTGGGGGGGAGTCCTCTCTGGCCCCTGTCCCGGAGCAGCCTGCCTGCACCCCAAACTCATCCCCAGCCCTGCTCCACCCCAGAGCCCATACCCCCACTCAGAGCTTTCACCACCCCACCCTCAACCCTCTGCCCGAGCCCCTCCAGCACCCCAAACCCCTTATCGCCAGTACCAGCCAGAGCCCTCATCCCCCTGACCCTCTGCCTGAGCCCCTCCAGCACCCCAAACCCCTTATCCCCAGTCCCAGCCAGAGCCCTCATCCCCCTGCACCCTGACCCTCTGCCCCAGCCTTGGTCCCCTCCCACACCCCAAACCTCCCATTCCCAGCCCCAGCCAGAGCCCTTACCCCCCACATGCTTACTCTCATCCTGAGCCCCTCCCACACTCCAAACCCCTCATCTACAGCCACACCCCGCAGTCCTCACCCCAGCACCCCATCCCTCTGTACCCCTCCCATCCCCAAACTCCCTCCCAGAGCCTTGGGCTGGTGGGGGGCAGAGTTTGGGTGGGGGCAGGTTCTGGGCACCACCAAAATTTCTACAAACATGCCACCCCGACTTTGCACAAGTGGCCCCTCCTCAACCCATCTCTGCTCCCCTGCATCTGTGGCTCCCAATGCTACTGGCCTAACTGACATGCTCTGGCTCCCCTCAGGAGGGGCCGATGCAGTTCCAGGAGAGCACGTGACCCCAGGGATCAAGCCAGAGGGGTTAGGGGGTAGACCAGGAGTTCTCAGGCTGGATGTTACTGCCCCCAGTTATGTGGGGGGTCACAAGCCCACCCAGCTCTGCAGGCAGCAGCAGCAGCACAGAAGTGAGGGTGGCAATGGGGCACAAAGTCTGCTGTGAAATGTGATATTGACAAATGTCTTCGCACCCCCAGTATTAAAGAGTAACTATTAAAAAAAACCTTTTCTGGTTATAACAATAATTAAATTAAAGTGTGTTTTAGGCTTAATTTAAAAGTGGTGAGAAAAGGTAAATTCATTTTAAAGAATTTCTCCTGGAGCTGCACCTCTCTGAGCCTTAGCACACCTTTTTCTTGTTCTGGGCCCCCTCAGGGAGTTCACTTGCTCTGGAACCCCAGGGCCTCCTCTCCCAAAGGGAATGATGCAACCCTGTTCTCCAGACTGCTCTGACACTCAGCCAGCATAAAACCGAAGGGTTTATTGAGCATTTGAACATAGCATAGGAAACTCTCCGGGCCCTCAGGCCTGGCCTCCCTTAGCACAGCATATCCAAGTCTCCCCTGTATCCAGGTGGGCTTTGCCTGCCCCCCCTCTCTAGGCCAGAGCCCCCCTGATTCCCAGCTGGGCATCTGAGATCACCAGCCCCAAGCCCTGCCTCTGTCCATTGTCTTCTCTCCAGGTAAACAGGGTCGCCCGGGCCTCCTCTCTTCTGTCCTCTGGCCCCCTCTGGCTAGAACCAGCTGGTTAGGTCACTGGGGTCCGCTCTTTGCAGCCCATTGTCCTCCCACTGGCTAGAACTGGCTGCAGCTCCTGAGCTGGGACTCTGGGTCACCAGGTTGCCAGGTCACCACTTGCTGGGGTATCCATTCTCCATTGGCTGGGGTCCCAAGTTCCCTCTCTGGTCCTCTGTAATCACAAACTCCATCTCCCATCACCTTGTTAAACCAGTAACACTCAGGGAAACTGAGTCCTAACCCCCTGCATATAAACCATTGGGGGGAAAAAGGAAAAAACAAAAAAATCCCCCACTTCATCACATCCAGGAAATACCACACTGCTCTTCCAGGAAAAAAGATCCCGCCAGAGAAGAAACCATGTGATTGGAGTCATAGCTAAGGCTATGATTTAATCATGGGTACTTTTAGTAAAAGTCATGGACAAACTCATGGGCAAGAAACAAAAAATCATGGCCACTGACCTATACCATAAATACCCCTGATTGAATTTTGGATGGGGGTGGAAGCCCGGGGGCCCACAGCACCACCTGCTGGGTGAGGGGGGGAAGCCCCAAAGAGCCCACTGTGCCACTGGGGAGGGGGAAGCCCTAGGGGCCCACTGCCACTCTGGCCACTGCTGGGGGGGAAACCCTGTGGGGCCTGTGATGTAGGGTTCTGCTGGGGGGTTATTCCTTCCTTTAATCACTGTGGAAGGGTAAACAGCAAGAGAATATGCTCCTCTTTTCTATGCGGAACAAATAAAGGAAGGCGGAATTTTTTCCAGGGCTGTAAGTAATAAAACACAATTGAGCAGAGAATGGTTATGGATCCATCACGCTTCTCCTGCACAGTGTGATACTTGCAGGATCTATTCATAGGGCAGCTGAGCTCAGCTGAGTAAGTTTTACTCCTGAGGGGTTTAGCACCAAAAAATAAATAAAATAAAATAAAAATTAAAATTCTGTGCACAATATTTTAAAATTCTGCAAATTTTATTTGTCAATAAATAAATGTGGAGGCTCCAGCATGGCAGTGGGGAGCACAGGCTACTGGATTCACGGATATGGGAGATCACTCTGCAGCCCCCTCCCCCAGAATATGAATCATAGAATATCAGGGTTGGAAGGGACCTCAGGAGGTCATCTAGTCCAACCCCCTGCTCAAAGCAGGACCAATCCCCAACTAAATCATCCCAGCCAGGGCTTTGTCAAGCCTGACCTTAAAAACCTCTAAGGAAGGAGATTCCACACCTCTCTAGGTAACCCATTCCAGTGCTTCACCACCCTCCTAGTGAAACAGTGTTTCCTAATATCCAACCTAAA